TTTTGGTGCTACATGCACTATGTGTGAAATTCTATGAGGACTTGCATCCGTCATTGCTTAATTGTGCTCTCCATGCATGTTATTTCTAGCTTCACCAATGCCATGGGTCATCATTTAAGTGGAGAGAAAATATATTTTTCAATATTCATCTTCTTATATTACAACACGTAGTACATCACTTATGTTCCGAGAACACTAAAAATCTCTTGTGCCCATGCATATTGTGCAGAAAAGGGAGATGCCAATTGTCATGTCCCCGGCAGAAGACAGCAGGGGAGGGGGATTTGGTAAGCTTTTCATTTGGTGGGAAGCCAACATCTGCAAAAGTGTTTTCTGCCGCCGAGGTCTACCGAAAGGAAGATGAAGCTTTTTATTATTTCATACTCTTTTGTTCTCCTTTTCTCCTTGGCGTTTTCTTTTGGTAGGTTATAGTTTTTCCAAATCCCCATCCTTCCCCAACCTTATTGACCAAATTGGGTTATATTTTCTTAAAAATATACTCAGCAATATAAAGTTCCATCATTCGCACACAAAAACAGTGAGTGATGGATTGGATAAGAGAATCAGAGGGACATACAGCCGCCCCTACCCAATTTTCCTTCATCATCATCGTCATCGTCGTCGTTCGTGACTCATGTCCATGTCATGGACATGTTATTTTGTTTGATTAATTACCTTTTCTTTTCTTTTCATGTATTTTGGATAAGACTACGATCAGGCCGTAACCGCCCCTCCTTTAGTCTTTTTCTAATGCTTTGTCAAATCAGGGTTACCAAAAGCCCACAGCTTCGTTTCCTCTATGTCTAAAACCCTAAAGTGAAAAGGAGAAGAAAGTTGGACTAGCGACATTTCGTTTTATTTAGGTAGAGAAGATTTTAGATTTGACACACACAAATGTCAGAATAATATGTGCATATATGAGTTTGATTATAAGTTGTGAATCATTGTGACTTGTTATAATACAAGTTAACAATACGTTATGAAAGTAGGTTTGTAAATGTCATATCATTTATCAAGAGAATAAAATTAGGAAAACCCCACATTAACGAGAGATTTTAATATGATTGATTGGAAATTTTAAGAAAAAAATTATAACCAATTGTATTATGACACTATGTATATTAAGCCGTATTCTCGGCACACTAAAAAGTTTATTCACATTAACCCATCCCATTGTACTTTGAAATCCCTTATCTTCGCTCTATTTTAGTAAGAACAATACTTGACTACTCAAAGATGAGTAGGAACTTCTACTAAAAACTCTTAGTGTTTTAATCACAAAGATTTGTGTTTATAATCAGAACCATTCATACTATGACTCACACTGTAAAAATCATCTTTGCAAAAAATAAATTAAAACTAAGGTCTTTTAGTCAATTTATTGTAGCAAATACATAGATGGTTCGTAATGCTTTTACCAATACCGTTCATTTGTTTTTAAATAGTTTGATGATTAAACCACCATAGTTTCAATTGATTTTTTTGCAGAGGCGATCTTTATATGGTGATTTATAATATGAATGGTTCTAATTATAAATACGAAGTTTTATAAATTGACAATGACTAAATTTGAGAAATTTTGAGTAGGAGTTTCTACTCATCTTTGAGTAGCCAAATATTGTTCTTTTAGTAATCCCTAAAGTCAATATAGCTATGAAAGTAATGCATTAGAAAAATGAATATTTAGGGCGTTTCCTAAACATGGTTTAACTTACAATACATTAAGGCATGAATTGGGGTGAAAAAATAAATATTTGAGTAGCATCTTTAGGCATGATGTTAACATATTTAAGGTGTGATGTTAACCTGTCATCGGCCACCCTTAAAAAACAATATTAGCCACCCTAAACCAGAATTAAACAAATTAAGCACTAAGATTCATGCGTAAAAATATAGGTACGTATCTTTCAACATCATCCTTGAAAAGTTTGGTGTGCTCTTACAAAGAAATGATTCGTTCAATGAAATTAGAGTGGCGTGTGTATTATATGTGCATGTATTTACCCTAATATATATGGTCGGCTACAACATCGAAATAACATTTACTATACGTGAGTCCTTAAAGACCAAGATTTAGGTTAGAGTTCAGTTACCTGCAATCTTTTTTGGTAGACGATCTGTAAAAATCAAAGAAAAAAAAACTAAAACCCTCATTATAAGTTTTCAAAAAGACTTATGATATGTCCCAACTCTGAAATGGAATAACCTCTTATTTCCCTAAACTTTTTGTTACCCTGATAAAATGACATTGGCTGTGCATGGATGGAAGTCCACTAACCCTATTTTCTCTCTAGCCGGTCGGTAAATGTCTCAATCAAACAGTGAAATAATTGGTGCTAATTCATCATGCTTGAAAAGATTTCGTATATTTGGCATTCAGCGTCGAACTTTGTTTGGTGATGAAAAAGAATAAAGCTATAAAATCTTTATGGATTTTTTACTGCTAATTAAGTAGGTAAAAAGGTGACCTTAGGGCTGGATTAGTAATTTAGTCCTCTAGATTACTAGGAATTAAAAAGTATACCATTGTTATTTATTCAAATGTTAGCTCCTATGGTCCATCAAATTTGTTATTTTATTCTATTTGCTTTTCCTTTTCCTAAGGGAACATTGATCCATAGTAACAGGTTGTCACGAGAAGATGTATTTTTATCTCATTTAACATTGGTTGTATATATTATTTGTTATTTGTTATTTGTCATAAACATGACTTCTTAGCAACAATAGTCTTTCAAATTGGCATAACTCATCGTTTTGGTCCATGAGATTTGAAATCGATAATAATGGTTTTTGAGTTTGTCAACCGTCAATTATTTTGATCATTCAGTGAAATTTTCTGTTAAATAAGGATCAAAATGAAAATACCCTTAATTTAAAAACATTGGTCCAAAATGATTTGACAAAAATTTAGGATATTTTTGTCATTTTCTCCTTATTTACGTAGATTTTTCACGGAATTACCACAATTATTGATAGTGGACAAATTCAGAGACCAATTCTATTGATTTTAAATCTCAAGGACTAAAACGATGAGTTATGTTAATTTCAGATATCATTTTAACTAAAAAGCTTAAAAAGATAGATAGGGTTAATGAACTGTGGAGATTGAATAAAATATTCAAATTAATCTAAAGTTAGTCTACTTTTTACATCGTGCGGTTTTGGAATGTGCTTTTTCTGATATGATAATGTGATTTCCTTAAGATTACACGTCAGAAAGATAGGAATTGGATCCCCTCCTGAGCAAATGGTGGGGATCCTTATGATTTACAAACATGAGCCGTTGGATTTTGATCTAACGGCTACAAATAAGGGATTCTTCTAAAATTTATAATAATTGTAGCCGTTAGATTAAAATTCAACAATCCCTATTAGTGGATCATGAGGATCCCACCATTTGCTTAGGAGGGGATTCAATTCTAGAACGATACGATTCATGTGCCGCAAAAAGTTAATAAAATACTCAAGTTAATTTAAAGTTAATTACTTTGATATAGCAAGTAGCAAAATGTTTTTTGGGTCAATGATGTAGTATATTGCTTGAGGAAGAGATTGAAACGTACTTCTTTTCCACTTCATATATCAAGATGGAACGACAGGTTTGGATTATTGTGAAATATATATGTATATACATTATTGTGACAGTCTACACTTGTTTTTGGGTAAAAATGAAGGTCTATTTAGAATTCAAACTTTGAGGGTCGCAGTGTTAGATACAAGTTTTAGATAGAAACAGAGCGCGAATTGTGCAAAAAAAAAATTTAGTTTATTCACAGAGGTATTTCATTGAACATTTGGTGGGCTTGTTGTCAGCCAAACCAAGTTGCACACATGTTAACAAATATCGACATATGCCGAAGCAATCTGATAGGTGATACAAAGAAAATTTGTCGAGTGTTGTCGACACAACATGTTGAGATATCCTAGCAAACATTACATGAAACATACACAAAAAATACTCGTATCAAACATTCAGATGGTCCTCGAAAAACCTTCACATATATACATTATACTTTATGAAGTCCCCTTTGATCTCTAAGTCCATCCACTCCTGCCTACAACCACAAAACACGATGACAGTCACACTCCAAAGAAGGATCAATTCCTGCTAATTTATCTGCAACATAATTTCATTCACTAAAATTGGAAACTTTAATGAAAAGCTCATGGTGCTGTTTACTTTAACGAAAAATCACATTTTGACACTAAAAAGTTAATTATGGTACTATTCACTTTACCTTTTATTTTATTCTTATCGTTAAAATTCAAAATTTTTCTATTAGTTTTTTTTTTTTTTAAATTAAACAGTCCACATTTTCGGATAGTTGGTCGTCTCAATATTAATTTAACTAATCGAATTAAATTAATTAACGGCAGCATTTCATGCAGGTGGTAGGTCAGATCTCAGGCACAACTTAAATGCAACGTGCAGCTTTACCTGTAATTGTGTGAATCAAGCAACTCATTAATCCATGCTATAATTGTAGATTTAAATTAATACTTACCAAACTTCTGACTTTGCTACATGTAGTCATATGGCATGTTTCGACTTTTAAACGAGTGCAAATACAAAGAAAGTAAAGGAACATCGCCCCATAATTTGGAGAGACCTTACTTGCGGTTCCGATATATCACAATAGGTTTGTACCATTTCAAACGAATAACGCGATACCATGTATTTTTACGTTATCATTTAACATCACATTAACACTTCAAGATACGACGGTGACTTACAAGAGATGAAGAGAAGTCTTCTCCCGTAAAGCCGTGAGTAATCTCATGGACCACTTCTAACGATTTTAATTCTCAAAGATCAAAATGAAGAGTTACGCTAATCTCATAAACTATTTTAGCTAAAAACTCAATCCTTGTCTGCCAAATAGTATGTGCCATTGTTTTTTCCTTCTGCGGAATGCAAGTTCAAAAATAGCCTGTCTTAATTTTTTAGCTTAGTCTAAAAACTGACGTACTCACACACCAAACACAATTAAGAACTGAGCTTAGGATAAATGGATCGTATTGCATAAACTTGTCAAATGCTTTGTATATTTCCAAGCTCTACTGTATTTTGCAGTACAACAGCAATTAGGTAAGCAATACAGCAGCAACTATTTCTTATTTAAGTCGACAAATCAATCGCTATTATTCAAGGATGCATGCGCCGTCGTCGTCTTATCATTTGTCAAATGGGAATCAAAAACTTCAGAAATTGCTGCAGAATATATCTCAATTCATGACATGAGACTTGTTCAAATTGGGGTGGTAGTATAATGTTGAAGATTTGTTCAAAACTTCAAAGGGCGTGTTGCTCGTCTGGCGGCACGAGGTCAAGCGAAAGGGGCATGCCTGTCTTTAAGATACATTTGGCTACCATAAGAGGGTTTTGCACCAATTGTTGACAAATTCAAAGTCACCACCTTACCCGGCCGATAACTTCTCGATCATGCTCGTTTTGTACGCCGTCCGACTTGAAGGGCCAACTCCGTATCAATCTTGAGGGAGATGTCTAGAGCCTTTACAGAATGAGTCAGTGCACCGCTGCAAACATAAATAGCACTTGGTAAACCATGCCAATAATATACTAACGATGACTGAACCATAATATCGGTAAAATAGCATTTCGTATGTTGTCCCTGCCAGCCTATTTGCAATGAGATGCAATTTTCACAACCTCAAACGATGAGATGACACACTGCCACCGTCTTATTTCAACGGAGCAGCAGTGCACCCTATCTACAAGCAGCAGATGTGAAGTGAGGATGATCAAAATGGAACTATAAAATGGCCAAGAAGAAGAAGGCAGAATGATTTACTATTCATTTAAATAACTCCAGACGACAGACTAAACAGCTTAAGTCATGCCAAGCCAGCAGGCTTAATGACAGATTAGGAAGCTGCGCCGTTACCTAGAAATGAAGTCAACCCCTGTTTGTCCAATCTTGTGTACGGTTTCAAGAGTGACATTACCAGATGCCTGTTGCAGTGAAGCAGAGAAGTCAGAAATAAAAAGGGAAAAATCGAATCCATGCGATTAGTAGATAATTTCTTTAACCTAGATATAAAGAAAGTGTCCTTAAAAGAAAATAGTGAAACTACGATATAAGATGTTTATGGAAAGTTCCAAACAGCCTAACAATCTACATCATCTACATCATCTACACCAAGATTATGGAATGGCATGGCGAATGTATAAAAGAAATCGGATGCTTTGAAGCATTTTAAAGAAATACGCTTTAAGTTATATCAGTTTTTAGGACTAAAGGAAAACAAATTTAGCAGAACCATTGATTATAGATAATAGAAAAACTGAATAAATAATTTAAGCTACCTCAGTTTCGAATCTCCGATCAATCAATTTCACAGCTTGTTCGAGCATGGATACATCAACATCCCCATTTGGTAGTGGTACAACCATATTATCCAACATTATCCGCGTCAAGGAAGTCTTTGTTTGAGATGCATATTCCAATACCTTTTCTATCTCCTCAAACGTCCGGGTCTCAACCTGGGAATCAAAACGAAATACACCATTAATGATTTTTGCCCCAAGGAAAGCTGATCCTGTCCCTGTGTTTAGTCAGCATTCACACATGTGTCCACATGCACACACAAGAGATAATAGAGAGAGCGAAGGATTTTGTAACAGATTGCAACATCAATGCAGGACATATCAACACACAGAATGTCGGTGAAAAACTCGGAAATAACTAGGGATGTCATGAATAGTGATAGAAGCAAGATAGTGAAACTATGTGATGAGTTGCAAAAATTACCTCAACCTCCATCTGAAGATTCCTTTGCTCTAGATACAGGTCTACAGATTTCAGGGCATTTGTGATGCCTCCGGCAATTGATATATGATTATCTTTTATCATTACCATATCAAATAAACCCATTCTGTGATTCCGACCTCCACCAATGAGTACCTGCGGCAAGAGGTTTCTTTCAAGGTCAAGCAAAAATTAATATACACCTGACAAGAACGTGCATATGTGTGTGTCCATGTGTGTTGGTTTGTAGAATAAGCAAGGATCCACACCGCCCACTTGTCCACCAAACGTAAACCCGGAGCAGTTTTTCTTGTCTCCAAAATACATGCAGGACTTGCAAGATCTGCCATTGCCTGCATGAAACACTGATTAAAAATCGTCCCTTTACACAGCTAACAAAAGATGCCATATTAATACACATATAGTAGGCATAACATGACTCAAATACTTTTTCTCTCTCATCTACTATCCACTTTTGATTTCTATTGTCGATTTCCTTTATGGTTTCTCAAAGTGGTCAGCGCTCCGTTATTAGCAAGTTGGAGACATATATCAGTAACAACTAACTGAAAGAAAACAATGACCCTCTTTTAAAGATTTAGACACAACTAAGTATTATACAGTGTTTTAATCTTATGATACTGAGGACTCCATAACAGGGAAGAGTTACTCCACTCTGAAATTCTTCCCCACCACCCCCCCCCCTCCCGCCCCCGCCTGGTAAATTCCAGGCCTCTTCTTTCATAGAGGAAGAGGAACCATCTTTTAATGAACTATAAAAGTGGTAAACAATCCCTTCAGGTTTCTAAACCATCACGATCCACATTGAAAAAATTGAGCCTCCCTTTTGCAATGGCATAAACCTGTTATGTTCTCTAATGTTACAGATTAAAAGTTGGCACAAAACATAAAAGGAAACAAAATATTACCTTAGTTAAAGTTGCTACTCCGCTCATCCTCTGCATAAAATTCAGAGCTACCCTCTCAGCCACAACAATACTGTGTGCCCGTCCTGCATATCAATTTGTTAAATTTTCAAGGAATTCTCAAAAGCTCCTAAAATTTCTTCAGAATCTGAATTACCATAAACTTTTCCAAAACCTAGGCCTTTATGTACAGAGTCTCCATCCTTTTGAGACCACTCAACCTGTATTGAAATGTAAATCAATAATGGAAGGATGAAAAGAACAAAAACTGTTGAGTACACAAAATTCAGTGCTTTTATACCTTCAAAGATGGATCAACTTCATAAAATACCATCTCCGCAAGTGCAATTCCGGCAATTATACCATTCTCCTTTGCCAAGAAATGGGCTTCTACTTCCATATCAGCTGGAATGGTAGCTAAACATGTCACATCACCTACAATTGAAACAACAATCTTGCTAAATAATATCTTTCGAACGTGAAGGAAATCTTACACTCGCCATTCAAAAATCGAACAGAGCAATTGGATCTCAGTACTAAAACCACTTGAAATGGGTTCTTAGAAACCAAGAAAAAATTCAAACCTCGATCCCCAGCATCCTCAGTAATGGCTGACTTGATGACACCCCACAAATCATAGGTCGGATGTGAAGGAGGTTTTATTGGCAAGGATTCAAATGATATTCTGGGATTTTCTGTTTGAGTAGCTGACATTCTAATAATCTTCCTGCACGGGTCCAGACAAGTTAAAATCATCGAACATCATCTGTCTATTATGTCATCAACTATGAACATTAACAGAACCTGAACTTTCATTATAGAGTTGGGACAAATGTAACTTAAGAACAGAATTAAGATGTCTGACAAAACCACACAGTTTCTTTCCTAGAGTCACGTTACGCATTAATGTGAGGAAAGAAGTTACTTTTGCGCTCGTCCTGAGCATGGCAAAAGGTTTTAGAGAGTACATTATTCAACATAAACTCATCAGGAAGTTAATGACCATTAGATAGAGACTAGACTAGTCGTAGTTGACATCGCTACCGGAAAATTTGTCAAAAGCATATTCTACTAACTTTCTTTGTCAAAATCATATTCAATTAACTTTCTCTTAACAAGAACAAAAACGCAATCTACTGACTCTGAAATCTACTACAACACTAAAAAATGGAGTAACCATGAACGGTAAATGGGCAGAGCAACACCAATTTTGTTAAACTGGAAGAGATAAACATACAACCTACGACCAAAAAATTATAAAGCCACAAGCAATGCAACTGAGAAATGCCCGGAATTTGATGATGCCAAAATCAAATTTAAACAACACACATCATATAATTCCACAATACAGCATGAACTAAAGCTATAAACTTTAAAGCAAAAATACACAAAAACCATGAAAACACAAAAAATTGAGTGATGGGTTCCATTAATTTGCGCACGAGAAACATTCATAAGACGAGAAAAGGAAACAAAGAGTATCGAAAGTAGGGTGGGGTGGAGGTTAGTGCTATTTACCTGACTGGCGATCGAAGGCGGTAGCAGAGGGGAGGAGGGTGGAGAATCGAACCAGTTGCGGCCGAGTTTTGGAGAGAGAAACAACGAGAGGCGCAACCCATCACCATAAACTTCCTTAAAATCAATACCAAGTCATCACTCAACTTATCACAATTCACCCCGAAATCGAGGCCGTAACAAAAGAGTATCCTAGTGGGCACGCATTTTTTTTCTTTTCAATTATTATTGTTTTTCTATTTCAATATACCATATCCTTAGAAGTAAATTAATAAGGGCAGAATTCACTTTTCACGTTTCGAAATTTAAATATAAAATTTCTCACTTAAGCGACTGATCACTTATATAATGTAAATCATGAGGCTGGAAAGCGCCATTTAAACGAGTAATAAAATATAATATAAAGAAAAGAGAAATTGTAATTTAATATCATTTTATATAAAAAGCTTTTTCAAAATAAATAAACAAACAAACAAACAAGATGAGTCTAAAAAGTTTGCAACTTTGGTATTCTTGGTATTCTTGGATTGTCAGTAGCAATCTTTGGTGGTCAAAGTAAAAAAGTAGCAATCTTTTCTTTCGAGGAGGGTGGGGTATCCACATTCGAACGTCAAGTTGCAATGATTCAATATAATGAGTGGTGTCTTCAGCTGTACTTGTGTAGCCATTTACTCGAATTTAAGAAAGAAATAACAACTTGAAACGTGTCTGACAGTTTGATAAGATATCAGAGGATTTTTATTAGGAAATTGATCTACATTGATTATACAACATCAATAATTTCACTAAGTAAGTCGGTTGTATAAATTATAGAATATCACTGTATTCAGTTTTACGTTAAGTTTTTTGTTAACTCCAAATACTCTGTATCTTTTTTAAAGTCTTATTTTCAAGTTTTCATAAGTCTTTCTCTACTCCTTTTATCTTGAAACTCTACCTCATAATTGCATTTTAACTTGATAATTTGTAGGTTCTCAATTCACAAGTCCAAAAATAATAGGTTGCACTGCACCAGGCACATGGTTTAATTTAGTAAGTGTGTTTTGTTGCACTGGATTATCTCAGACCGAACTAGCTTTATAAACTAAGTTGTAATAGCTTAGACTATACTTAGTACTGGTTTGGCTTAGTGAAATGTTTGGTGCAGAGTCAGACTAAGAAGCTGAATAAGAATAAGGACAAAAAGGAAAACAAAGTTTTTGTTAACAAAACTTTCTCTAGAATTTTCTAATGCAAAGAAATCGAACCCAACATCAAAATTTTATGTAGAGTCCAACTACACCTAGCAACCAAATTTTACAATCTCTCAAAAAGCGTGATTTGAACCTTCAAATTTTACATTCTCTCAACCCAAAAACAAAACTTTCCAATAAATCAATGGAACCCAAAAGCCCAGCTAAAACCCTTGGAATTTTTCAATTGGGAACTCAACTTTCTATTGAATTACCACTCATATGAATTAGAAGAAGTCAGATAAAAATCACATTGATTTTTCAAACTTTCAAACTCACCTTTCCATTGATTTTCAATCTTTCCTCATTTTCCAAATTAGCCCTCCACTCCTCTCTCCCCCTCCCCCCCCCCCCTCAAACTGTCAAATATGCCCCAAAAACTCAACCCCTTTTTGTTTGCCCCATTTTTAATATCCAACCCAACCTGCAAATTTCTCAGGGCAGCAAGAAGCCAAATATCTGCTTTCTAGAAAAGAGAGAGAAAGCACTTAAATTTCCACAAAGCTCGAAGACTTGTCGCTCATCTGAGTTCTTCAAATTCAATGCGATTTTTCAACTAGGGACTCGAAATTCGCTTCTCAGCTCATTGTAGGTTCTCCACTGGCACATCGATTTTGGCCGTAACGTCCACCTACAGCAGCGCCGCTTCAACTGTGAGCTGCAGTTGTCCCCCAACCCCCCCCCCCCCGGCGACTTAGGCCACGAAGGAGCAAGCACCGCAACGCCTGGTGATGGCACCGCAGAAGAAGCAGGGACCAGATGTTAGTGAGCAAAACTTGAGGATTAGATGTCGGCCTTCCTTTATAGTCCCCTTAATACCAAGCGAAAGCTTGGGATTAGGTAGCCTGCTTTAGCGAACCCTGGAAGGCCGAGGACATACCAAACACAATATTATAATCCTACTTAAGCCAGTCCCTCCTAAAGAGGTGAAACAAACTCACCCTAAATATCCTGCTTAATTAACCAATATTTGTATCAAATCTCTATAATTTCTGTCTAACTCGTGGATGATAGCGATTTCTCATTATTTTTCTGGGCAAAAAATAGCAAGATCCGAATGAGGACATTGTTAATTTGTAGGCACTTTCTTGGAACCCTGCCAAAGAAGCCGTTCATAGTTTACATCAAACAATTAATTGTCACGTTTTTCTATATGGAGCTGTTTTCATACAAACCCATGTGTAGAGTTGGTTCCGATTTTGTCTCTGCTGCAAAGCATAGCAAGTCAAACACTATTTCAAAGAATTTCCATACTATTATAATTTGGAGAGCATCTTTTAATCTTATAATGCCTCCTTTTCATTTCACATTTGTGCCTTGCAAAGGAAAAAAATATCAAGTGTGACCGTGAAACAGTCACGTTGTGTTACTAATTCACGTATTATATAAGTAGATGATAATATTGATGTTGTAAAACCTTATTGAATGTCGTTAATATTACCTGGCTCTCAGGTAATTTGAATATCGAGTAACTTGACCTAGTAGAAGAGTAAGAATCGTGAAGTCTTAAACTCTAGAGATACATAAATTGCAAAATAGAATAACATATATAGATTATAAAGTATTAGAACATATTGAAAACATGGGGAATAAGAATATAAGGAGTCTCAACTTAGACGGGTCTAGGTATGCACCTAACCTAACCTAGGCAGGTTTATACGTCATTTTTTAATTCTTAAACACATAAAAATTAATCGAAATGGTGGTCAGTCGCACAGGCTGAGATTTCATAACAGTAGGCGGTAAGACTATCGAACTAATAATTACTTGATAGGGATGAGTTTTCGTTTGAATAAAAAAAGGTGTTGTTACAATTTAAACTTCAATATTGTTTAATTTCTGTGTTTTCCAAAATGGCTGCTATTGCGTTTGTTCAACTTTTTGACAATCATATCTACGGCATTCAAAAACTACACATACACAATTCAACAGTTAAGAGCACCCTTGTTTCATTGGCGTTGAAACTCTACCAACAACAAAATTAAATAACATTCAAATAGTCCTATTAATTAGTTTTTTTTTAATCCCCTTATGTCAAAAATTCTAACAGTACCCAGTCCAATACAGACGGCACTCAACTTATTCTCTTATCATCCCTATAATTCTTTCTATATATATAAAAATATATATTAGAAATGAGCATGCTGATCATAATGTTATCTCCTCCAAAGAGCTTGTTAATCACTTATGTTATTTTTCTGCTTCTGCTTTTGAGAATGACATCAACGGGAAGCTGCAGCAGAGTTTTGAAGGAAGTTGAAGCCGATGAGTTTAAAAGATCGATTCAAGGCATGCTTCCGAGAGGCCTCATGCCTCCTTCTGGACCGTCGCCATGCCATAACAAGCTCAGCCCATTCCGGGACACCGAGCTCTCTTATAATCACGATGATTATGTCATGTGCCCGTAATATAAGTTAACCTTAGAAGAAGCAGAAGCAGAAGCAGAAGCAGAAGCAGAAGCAGAAACGGGACTTCTCTTATTTTATTTTATTTATTTGTTTTCATGACCTTGGAAGATTGATAACTCAATGCACAGTTATGTTTCTTCCTCATTATTTTCATTTCTTTTCTGGGAAATTAGTGTTGATTTTTGCAGAGTTGGATTAGAAAATGAATATAGTGTTCCAGTTCCCAGAAGGTTATTGGAATTCCATAGAAAATACAGGGAAAATTTCGAGCACCTTGTTTAATATCTTCTTGTAGTTTTACTTCTTGGAAGCACATACACTTTCTCAATCTGTATACCACGCATACTTGACAAAATAAAATAAAAGAGGCATTCGTATCGCTGGAGACACCAAATTTATTCATTAAATGATGCATTAGGGCTTGATTAATGTAAATTTAGATATATACATATTTTTTCAGAAAAAAAAAAGTTCTTTAGATATAGACCATGTAACTTTTATTTCCTATATAAAAACCCATCTGATTATAAACATTCAAATAAAACCCAAATTTAAAAGTGATTGCCATGTAGGAAAGTAATTGACCTATTAATACAAAATATTTACAACTTGTACCACAACATTCAAAATAAATCAATAAATATTATTACTCACCTTACCCCTAACACACACACACACACACACACACACACACACACACACACACACACACATATATATACGTTCAAATGTAACTAGTACTGCCACAAGCTCAATATATATATATATATATATATATGTACGTATGTATGCACAATACTACATATATGATCAAACATATTATACTAATTAATCTACCTATATGTAAATTTATGATGAGTAAATAACATATATTTTGTAGGTATACTATTTTGTATGTATCATCATATGTATTGGGCACATTTTATTATTATATGTACAAAATATTAGGTAAAATAGTATTGAATAAAATAATAATATTTTTTTATGTAGGTACATTATTTTGCATACATTGGGTTTGCTTTATTATGTAGGTAAATTATTTTGCATGTTTTTTACATATAGTGGAGAAATTATTTTGCTTTTTTTAAGCAATCTAACATTTTAAAATTTGAATAGTAGGTGCACTGAATCAAATAACATTTTTTGTAGGTAAATTATTTTGCATGAATTTTTACGTATACTAGGCATTTTTATTTTTATTTTTATTTTATTTTGTTATATATATGTGTGTGAAATAATTTACCTACATTTATATGTGAAATATAATTTGTTGACTTAACTAAGCATGTATTATTACATATATTAGGCATGTTTTGTTGTTATTATATATTAGGCAATAACTTTATTATTTATTATTTTCGTAAAATCATTAATTCTCCCTTACAATCTATATGTAACTAATTGTGTACATAAAACATAATTAATGAATTTGCTAATGTGGAATCTAGTTAATGGGTTTTATTTGAGTAAAAAACTTATGACGGGTTTTATGTGGAAAAAATTAAATTTCAGGGGCTAAAATCATATTTTCAGAAGAAAAAAATATGGGTTGATTTAAAATTTATTTATT